CAAATCTGTGGCTTATCCAAACTAATTTTCTCAGGATCTCTACTCTCCTCCAGAGTTCTTGTGTCTTGGCTGCTTCTCTGTTGCTCTCCTCAGCAGTCCTTTTTTAAACTTCATCAACAAGTGGGAGCTAATATAAGAAAGAGGTGAACTGGTGTTGTTATCGCTTTCTGAAAAATATAGCTTGAATAAAAAATTTAGGCCTGGATCACAAACCTTATACAGGATTATGTAAATGTAAGGTTAAAAAACACTGATAAAAGAAATATTCTATTTGTCACCGAATAAAAAGCTAGGTTACCACAGTATTGCAACAGAATGTTCCTTGATGGGATCATTTGTAGTCCCTCTCTGCAACAAAGGCTGTGTTTTGAATGAATTTAAGGCATGTTTGACCTAACCCTTGCTAAGCTCAATGTAAAAAAGACATCGAAATAAGAGCCGAAATGCGTCGAATCAAAATCCCTCTTTGAACACTGTCAGATGAGGAAAGGAAAACACAATAATCTGCCTACATCCAAAGGATGCTCACTCTGCTTTACATTAAAGATTAAAACATGATTCCATGAGCGAGGTACCTTCAGGTCTTTGCTGCTTTTTTTTTTTTTAGCAGAGTTAAGATTGTCCCCACAGCATACAATTCATTTAATAGCTTTTTCATGACCTTGGTGTGAAAGCACCAAGTTACAAGGTCATCCTGTATTCACATCACAATTTGTTTTTATCAGTATCAAAAGTTTTTTTTTTTTACAGATTAAAATCTGAAAAGCCTCGCATCTTTGCTGTATTCTCCAAAAATGTTCTTCTTGCCTTTGATTTGTGGATTGCATCACTAGTTTTTTTCATTGCTGTGGATCTCTGCAGCTCCTCTAAAGGGACCATCAGCCTCATAGCTGTTTGTTTTATTAAGGCTAATGTAGGTCTGATAAGCAAAGCATTTGATGGTTTTTATTTTCTGTCATATCAAAATTGCACAGTCCTCTATCTACTCTATTTCTTAGTTTGGAGAGAACATATATATATATATATATATATATATATATATATATATATATATATATATATATATATATATATATATATATATATATATATATATATATATATATATATATATATATATATATATATATATATATATATATATATATATATATTGTGAATATTTTTGCAAGGAACTTTGTAAGGAGGAGCCTGACGGCTTGTTTAACTGCATGCCTCCACGTTTATTCTGATAAAAAGTTTGGGAGGGGTTTCACTCACTCTTCAGAGTTTTGATCATCAGGAAAGACAGGAAACTTTTAGAACCTGATGAGATGACCCTAAAAATATGACTTGAATCCTACTATTCCTTCCACGCTGCTAGAGACAGACCTTCACAATAAAAGCTGACACATCTTAAAAATAGCCAGTGGTAATCTGCCATCATTTCTGAGGAAAACGACTACAGATCTACAGGCTCTCTCTCCCTCATGTTGGAAAGCAAGCTTATTTATACTCCCCCTCCCCCCGCTGTGTTACCCTGGAGCGGGGAGCCACCTGCCGGGACCAAGGGAGAGAGACCTGGTAATGGATGACTCAGGACAGGGGGTTCCCACTTCCGGTTGGGATCCTGCACTAACCCTTCACAATTAGGGTGAAATATTTTGAATAAGGAAAAAAAGTCCTTGTTTATGGTTTTTAGTCTGTAGCTTTTGTTATAATTTTAACTAAAATGAATGCTACTGTGGATTTTACTTTAACAATACATGTCAGAAATCAATACAAAGACTCCAAATAATGACTAACTTGTAGTCTGGGGTCCTCAGAAATAAATAAAAAATAAACAAGAATTTATCTTTAATAGCTCTTAAATATAAAAATGAAATTGGTGACAGAAGAAAGGTATAAAAAAAACAGCTAATGGATCCAATATAAAAAAATTATTTCAATAAAGTTTGGTTCGTGTCATAATTTAGAAACAAAATTGTGGATTCTTATTTTTTCTTGTAAAATATGTTGTTGTTGTTTTTTTTCAATTAGGATTTTCTTATTATGACTTTTTAAAAGTAGAGTTATGTAAAGAAGAATTTTATAAAACGGCTTTTATTTTGAAAATAGAGAGCTCGCGATCAATTAAACATATAAAATATATATATATATATTTATCGAAGGTTAAACATACATGACGTGAGCTTGAAAGTAATTAAGGAAGATATATGCATAACATGAATATGTTTCTGCGTTTCGGTATTTGCATTTATTTACGTTACTTCATTGCTTTATTGATGGTTTGACAATGAGGCACCGGGTTATTGTGATTGGTGAAAACTGCATCTTAATACGATTCTTAATTAAATGCATGTGATCTTTCTTTGATTAAAAGGAAACTGAATTAAATCAGTTTTGCTCTCTTTTAAATCTGCTCAAAATACGCAAAAAGCGACAAAATGACGCAGAGAGCGCCTCTGGTTGTTGTGTGCAGAATAGTTAATAGATTAAAGAGTCTAAAGTCTTACTGCAGAGAATTTGCTGTTGATAATTATGCGCCCATTTATGTATCTGTTTTTGTTGTTCTTTTCTGAGATTTATTTTTTTTCACGTGCATGTTTCCGAACGTTTCTTCGTTTATTTCTAATTTGGAGCTTTCCGCCATTAAACTTCATCAAAGCAATGAATGTAGATCGGATTAGAGATTACTACCTTAAAAAATTATATATATATATATATATATATATATATATATATATATATATATATATATATATATATATATATATATATATATATATATATATATATATATATATATATATATATATATATATATATATATATAACAACTTCACTTTTTAATTTTTTCTTTCAAGTTCCTTATATACGGTATCTAACAGGTATGCTGTTATACTTGGGATTAAAGCAGGTATTCCTTTTTTTTATTTTATTTTACAAAGATATATTATAGTTGTTATACATAACATAATTAGGAAAACTGTTCTTTGCAGATTTTTTTATTTTCCTTAAGGGACAGAGCATGAACAAAAATCAAAACTGCTTGGAAGGAAAACATTAAAGGAACAAGAAAAAAATACAGAAGCCTCAAGTTAGCCAGTATGTCTCATTTCAATTAAAATGGGACTATGTTTTCCACTAAAACACCATCTTAACTTAAAGATAAAATAGAACTTGTGATGTAGACCATATATTTGATAAAACAATATATATATATACATTTCCTTGCCTGCAAAGGATTGTGTTCATTGTATTTAAATGTCCATTATAAATTGTTCCATGCATTTGGAAAAAGAAAACATTGAGATAAAGCCCATAAAAAGTGAGGCCATTTAAATTAACCATTTCAAAACATTGTTAGAAATAAATAAATAGAATGAAAGATTTACATTCGGACCTTGGCTCTTTTGTGGCAGGGCAATGGGAAGACTCATGAAAAACATCAAAACTTCTCCTGCTTTCTACAACTGAAACAGATAGATAGATAGATAGATAGATAGATAGATAGATAGATAGATAGATAGATAGATAGATAGATAGATAGATAGATAGATAGATAGATAGATAGATAGATAGATAGATAGATAGATAGATAGATAGATAGATAGATAGATAGATAGATAGATAGATAGATAGATAGATAGATAGATAGATAGATAGATAGATAGATAGATAGATAGATAGATAGATAGATAGATAGATAGATAGATAGATAGATAGATTCCTTTTTTGCATGATTAGTCTTGAACAGATGGCATATTTGCTTAAAAACCCTCCCAAACTGTGCTCATATTGTAATGAGACATAAAAAACTCCTCTTGATGCCAGCTAAAAGCCTTTTCCATCCTTTCTAAAAGGTGCTTCAATGAAGGTAATAAATGTTATAGTGCATTGATGCTTTGTATGATTTAGAGTTTGTTCACAGTTGAAGGCCATTGGAGGTATTTTTTAGACAGTTCCATTCATCCAGCCTTCCTCCTCCTCCTCCTCGGCAGCAGCAGCAGCAGGAAGCTGAGGCCTTCACATTAACACCCCCGGAGTCAGCACTAATGAGGGCCTCAGCAGCTGCACTGGGCTCCTACTTCCACTACTTTAACATGCTTCATTACGGTTCATCACAAACTATAGAGCCATGACATCACTGTGACCTGTGCTCTCAGGTGGGATGGCCTTCCCTCTCTATAAGAAGCCAGTGTCATTGGTACACTTTTATTTGCAAGGCCCTTCTATGATTACTGCCCTCTTGCATTTGTACTTACACAGAAAAGCATGGCTTCCTATAGCCTGAGATCCAACGATCAGCTGTTGCTCTGTTCCTTTTGCCCACACAGAACTGGGGAAGAAAGCCTTTAGCTAAGTCACTCCTTGTGCTTGGAATTTTTTATAAAGAAACAGGAAGTTGACTGAGTTTTTATCTTTAAATGCTTTTAAGTTGAAAGTGAAAGAACTTGAAGCAGCCTCAATGATCTGTAATTTTTTTACTTCATATGTTTTTTTTTTAATGTACCTGTCATTTAAATTAATGTACTTCCGTTTCTTATGTATTTTGCTGCCTCTTGGCCAGGACTCCTTTGAAAAAGAGGTTTTTAATCTCAATGGGATTTTTTTTTTTTCCTGGTTAAATAATAATAATCTAATTGTTATTACTGTGGGATTATACATAACATTTTTTTCCTTTCTAGTTCTGTGCGCTTAAAACTCAACCCAGCTTCGTCTTGTTTTGTATTTATTTTCTTGCCCTGAATTTAGCCCTATTTGTGTGTGTTTGTTTGTTTTGTTTTTTACCACATTTAAAGAAGCAATTCTGGGCGTGGCAATGATGCCCCGTCCCCTCCCTCTCTGATTGGCTAAGAAAAAAATCACAGAGTAGGCAAACAGCTGTGACCTTTATGATTTTTTTTTTTTTTTTTTTTTTTACTATTATTAAAGCCACCGGCAGGCTGTTTACAACTGTAAAAAATGAAATAATATAGTAGTAACTGTTTTAAATTAAAGCTTGCTGGAGTTCCTACCTGTGTTTCTGACAGGTTGAGCTGCCGTGCCAGCTCCGTGCGCTCGCGGCCCACCACGTACTGGCACCGCTGGAACTCCAGCTCCAGCCGGTACAGCTGCTCAGCCGTGAAGGAGGTCCGGGTTCGTTTGGGCCGGTCCAGGTCCAGACCTTTGGGCAGGACGATCTCCCGGATGGTTCCTTTGGCGTCTGTGAAAATGGTGGAAAACACAAAGAGTGCATGTATTATTAGCTGCTATATTATTACAGATAATGAAAAAAATTGGTTTATTATTTTCAGAGAAACACACATGCCTGTTAGGCTGGTGTGACTCAGGCCCATATGATTCCGCACTGATGTAATATTTATGAACACACACATAAAGGCATATGGCTTCAGGGTTCAAAAGAGCATGAATGAGTAACTGCTTGTGTTTGTTTTAGAAAGCACATCTATAGAAAATCATTTTACTGCAGGCTGTGATGTTAAATTACTATATGAAAATATTCTATTAGAAATATGTCCTATTAGTTGGGTTCTTTGTTTTTAATGTTCCAGATAGAGAACCTATAGTTATCAAACGCAATAAATAATATTCATTTTGGGTTTTTTTTTTCTTTTATTTCTGCCAGAAAAGATTTTAATGTTTATTCCAGGTAGAAAATACAGTAACAATGGTGCAAAAACTGGCTTAAGATGTAAAATATAAGACTGATAATTGGTTCCAATCTGGTGTTTTTCCTCGAATATTTGTCTCAAGTGTGAGGCATCACCTGCAATGCCTAAGAGTAGGTTTTGTTGTTGTTTTGTTATGAATACATGCTCCATTTGTAGACTTAACCAATAAATTCATAGGGACTTTGACTGTAAAAATACAAACTCACTAAAGTTATTCTGGAAACACTAGGAAATAAACTCCACACAGATGCATTTTTCAAAATAAATAAATAGATGTAACTCCATCTGCCCATTGAGCCATATAGGCCATCTCAGATGTGATTGGCTGAGAGTTTGTTTCATGTCGCTGAAGCTCAAAGCAAAGCAGCGCACACTCGGATCCGCATCTTTTCTCTCCGCAAACAAAGCGCGCTGTTTCCAAACTACTTCATCTTATTCCGCGTATTAAAATATTATTCTATAGATATATGATTTTATTTGGTATTTTATGATTTCGTTTAGCTGTGTTTTTTTTTATTTCCTTCGGGGTTTTTTTTTGTTGTTGTTTGTTTGGTGTTTTTTTTTACACTTTTTTTAAATCAGGACTGACCGGAAAAATAAAAATAAAATAACGGTAGAAATATATATTAATGGTAATCATATATAGCCTACGTTAAAATGATTAACCAACACGAATTGCATTTTTTTTATCGATATGTGATTTGTTTTTTTAAGACTGAGCATGTTCCTGTTTTTTTTTTTTTTTTTTTTTATCCTGTGGGTGGACACGCAGCAGCAGCCAAAAAACTCCTCTTTGTTCATTCATAAAATATGCAGTCAAATAAAATATGAAGAAAGCTGAATTAAATATGAAACAGAGGCAGCTGCATGGGGCGTTTCAGGCGGTAAATCAAGCAGTAGCAAAAAGGCCCAAAATACCTGCAAACATTTATTCATGTATTTATTTATTTGATGGATGAACGGCTGGATTGTGTGAGCTTATTGCAGCTTTCCTATCCGCTCGCCGGGGTCTTATGAAAAAGTTCACACACATTTGGGCTAATAGAAACACAAAACAAAAAATTATTTGCAGCTTTATAAAATATAAAATATTCTGTTAGGTACTTTGCATGCAGAGATTAATCAAAAACCTCAATATTTTCCTCCTTGTTTTATCTGCATCTGTTTTTTTTTTTTTTTTGTTTTTTTTATTATTATTTATGGCTCTGCCGATCCTGATTCGTAGCTTTAAAAAAAAGACACTAAGCACAATTAAATAGCTAGACACGATACTTGATTTTTTTTTGTTCTCCCATTTTATTCAGTTTAAAATCAAACAGCAGCTCAAAGTGTGCAGCGTGTTTCTACCACAGAGGCTGAGCGCAGCGGCTGAGTACAGAGACCTGCTGACCTCTCTGTGACCCCGGTCGCTCTGCGGAAAAAAAAAAAACCCGAAGCAACCGGGACTCTGATTCAGAAACACATCCCATCCCTGCAAACATGCAGCCAATAACAGCTGGACTGTGTGCGCACTGAAACCATTCCTCATCTATACCAGTTTTTATTTTTCCATTATAAATAATGCTACAGCCTGCAGTGAAGATGCTTGTTGGAGACAGTGATTCACAAACCCATGCTTATTTATACATTAGAGCTTATAGGCAGCTCCAATGCATAAATAAATTAGTAAATAAAATATATGGGGTAGGCCTAACGGTGACATTAACCGGGTCATTTCCAGGATTATTCTAATTTTGGCAATCAATGACCTACAAAACAACAAAAATAATTCCGTTTTAATGTTATTATTATTACTGAACATAAGAATTTAGAAAAATGCAAAACCCAGTATTAACTTAAGCATTTCTACCTAATTTAAACGGATGCCTATAATGTCTTTTTCCTTTTATTTTCTCGTGTCTTCCCATCTCTCTGTCTTTTCCTGTTTTATTTATTTATTTATTAAATTTATTTATTTATTTATCAGCATTTTCTTTATATGTCCGACTGGTTTGAGCAATGTGTTTCTTTAAACGCGCCCAGGCAGCAGTGATCATCACCTCCTCAGCATCGGCCTCCTGCCACACCAACATGGGCCGACATATTGATTCTGTCTTTAGCAAATCTTCCAAACACACACAGCTGCAGGGGCCACGTTGGAATTCTTCATGTCTGTCTGAAATTTCTCAGAATCAATTTAAGATAAAAGATACGAAATATAACCAAGAAAAAAAATCAAGGATATTTGATTAAAAAAAAATAATAATAATTAATATTTTATTATATATATTTAACACCCATTTTAACTGGAATGCATGTTTAATCATGTAGATATTACACTATTTTTTTCTTCTTAATATTATACAATATAACATGTTTACTCTCAACAATTTATATTTTATCAAAAATCTGTAATTGTGTTGCAATAAAAAACAAACAATAAAGGACTTTTGTGCTATTTCTAATGTAGTTTCTGGAGTTTTGCAGTGCATAACCTCCTATCCTGTGGTGACCTCCTGCAGCAGGATGTGCACATAAGTGACATTTTTTGCTGATATCTTTAAATAAAAAAAAGCAGAAAAATACACATTTAGTTTTTTTTGTGTGTTTTTTCCTGCTTCATTTTTTTATCAAATTTTTTCCTTCATTAGAAGAAGCTTAACAGGGAGGATATTATTTATAGCCTGCAGTTGTTTTTTTTCCTCCTTTTTTTTTTTTCTTAAACTTTTCTATAAAAGTTCATCTTCATTTTAAGAACAGAATTGTGGAAATCTTATAGATCCAACCAAGCAATAATTTATATTTCTGTACCGGTTGTTTCTTTGACTTGTAGTTGATTGTGTCTGAAAAGCCTCCTGAAAAGCGCCTATAAATAAAACCTATTATTATTATTATTATTAACTATATACCACAAATAAAGTGCGTATTTAGCCTAAATTTAAAATCTCCATAATAGTCAATTTTATGTGTGAACGAAAATAATTGTGTTTACATTGGTAGTGTATTTATATATATATATATATATATATATATATATATATATATATATATATATATATATATATATATATATATATATATATATATATATATATATATATATGTATATATATATATTTTTTTTTTTTTTTAAGCTGAAGCTGATGCTTGTAATAATAGGTCTCTACAGTCCTCCCAGCAGCAGAGGTGCTCTTCTTCCACCACTGCAAAAGAAAGTTGTGCATATACTGTATCTCTTTAAACCCAAATTATCATTTTATATTCTTTACAAGCACGTTTTAGTATATTTAAATTTTAAAAATTAACTATTTCTTGCATCTTTTTTTTAATTCTAAGGAAAATTGAAACTGCCAATATGTTGATCCTCTGAACTTTACCAGTTATTGATTTTTTTTTTTTTCTCTTTCTGATCATTTCTGGTTCAATTCCATCCAGATTGCTCTGTGATTTTTTTTTTTCTACCTTTACTTTTCAAGTTCAGGTTTAGTATTTTTTTAGCTCACTTACCCCTCACTAATATCCTGCGGCAGTAGTCCGGGTCCACCCCCAGAAGTTTCTCGTGTCCGTCCTCGCTGGAGGACGTCGGCGTGGATGCCGAGGTCCCCGGAGTGTCTATGGAGCTCTGCACCGGGGACCTGCTGCCCATGTCGGGGCGGCACTTCCCCTCCATCCTGTCCAGTGGGTTGGGGCCACAGCGGTGGCTCCCATCGCCCATAGTCGTGGCCTGATCGAACATCTACAACTAAGTTAGAGTCTTTCTCAGGTAAAGTTTCTACTCCTTTTTTTTTCTTCTTATTGCTCTCTTCCTTCTCTAATACTCACTCTGCTATTTCTACTTTCTTCCCGTTGCAAATGTTCTCCAGAGGAAAGCAGAGCATGCCCAAGTCTCCCTCAGAGGATATCAGAAGTAGATCCAATTAGAAGAACGCGGTGCGCTCCAGCAGCGGAACCGGTTTGCACCTCAGGTGTGGCGGCATGACGCAGGCTCCAGAGTCCAAACCAGGAGAAGGGAAGGAGATGTTTTCTCTTTTTTTTTTTAACTCAAGCTGCAGCGGCCAGGAGGTGCAGGTGGAGATGCATGGGGAAGATCTTAAGAGGAGCAGGGAGGTGCCTTAAAAAAAAAAAAAAATCACCCTCAAGAGAAAAAAAAAAAGAGAGAGAGAGGCTGTGCGCAGGAAAAGGGAGAGGAAAAAATGTGAGCAGGGGAAAGTTTCTGCTGGTTTATCCAGAATCGTTCACTCCCAGCCACACCAGCTCCCTCTGCGGATCCTTGGAGTGTGTGTTGGTGGTGCCACATAAAGGGGGAAGGCGCACAGAAAAAAAACACCTCTTAAATGAAACCCCCTCTAGGTGTGGACTGTTAGGAAATGGGAAAACACCAGAGGGCTTCCAGATGAAGTTTAGAGCGCCCTTGTTAGGTTTTTGTTTTTTGTTATAATTTGCTTAAGAGCAGAGCATCAGGTTCCACCCCCGTCTTGACAAACGGAGCAGAGGATGGTGAAGGGAGGACGTGTGAATAATGCGCCTGCTGATACGCTCTGTTTTACACAGGCAGGATCTCCTGACGTCATTTCCTGCCGGCTGCCGGCGCGTCGCTGATTGGTCTGCAGGCAGGGCATGTTTTGACAGGATGGGCCGGGGAAGATGGACTGAGGATGAGGATGGAGGGGGGGCAAGAAGAACTGAGATGATGGTTGAGTTTAAAAAGGTGCAAACCACAGATGTATATGCATAAAAATAAAGTATATTATTCATGAATTCATTTCGAAAAGTAAATGGTCCATATTTTTGTTCTATATCTGTTAATTTGGTATTATGGATCACAGGTATTTAAAAATGTTTTTCAGAAAAAAAAATAATAGAAAGGGTATTATAAAGAAAAGCATTGCAGAGTGGGATGCTATGACTTATAAAGTCATGTGGAAAATAGTCAACTTGACAGTTTAAATTTGACACGCGCCTCAAGAAGGGTGAGCCAGAAAAGGTCATAGCTAAACGCTCTGGCTGTTCACATGGTGCACATAGTTTAAGAAAGTTAAGTGAAAAAAAAATGTCTGGTTTTGTGGAAGCAAAACCTTTTCAAGGGTTTGAGATTCACAAAGCGAAGGCTGCAGGTGTTGGAGTAAGTGTTTCAAGAGCCACCAACACAAATATATATATTGGCTGTGTTAAGCCACTCTTGAACCAAAGACAAATTCTGAGGTGTCTTACATGGACTAAGGAGAAAAATAACTGGCATGTTGCTCTGGTCAAGACTAAAAACACATTTGTTTAGGATTGCCTTCGACTGTTCTAGTTAAACAGTTTAACTGAAAAATCATTAGTTAATTTTTTTTATTTTCTTTAGTCAAACTGTTTTTAATATTCTTTTTTGTTTCTGCATTTATTTTCCTACTTGCTTTGATTCTGTTTTATTTTCCTATATTTCATGTAAAGCACTTTGCATTGTCTTTGTACTGAATTGTGCTATACAAATGAATTTGCCCTTGCCTTGGTCCTTTTTTCTTATTTATCCGTGCTTTAAGTATATTAGGGTAGTGGTGCTTCCACAATCAGCTCTAATGTGTGAAATGATTGTTTTTACCAACTCCTACCAATTTACCAGAAAATTGTAGGACTACGGGCCTTTCTTTTGATGAAAAGTATTTTTGAGATGCTAATTTAACTTTTAACAATTTCACAACTTTTTACAATGCTACCTATTCACATGGCCAAAGGAGCCAACATCTGGTTGAGTGACAGTTTGCAAGTAAACCTACCTGGCCCGAACCTTTAATGGAGTGTTCTCAAGATGAAGTTGTGCGATACCAGACCCTACAATGTAGATGATCTAAAGGGCTATAAAATGACACAACTTCCATTACACCTTAGTACTAGAGGTTAATTACCTTTCTTACTGCATTCGTCAATGCAGTAATTCATGCAAATGGGAGGGCCAACCAAACACATACTGCACAGTACCTGCAGGCATGCACATATGCATACTTTTAAGCATGCATATGTGAATGAATTTGACCTTAATTTGGGATTTTTAGAACTGGATTTGAATTTTACCATTTTGTCCTAAAGTTCTGTTTGATTTTGGCCGTAAAAAATTTACAGTGTATATAACCAAAACCACAGAACATAAACAAACACTAAGAAATATTATTCTTTTAAATTGTCTAATTTGTTATAAGTTATATTATCTTACAATTTACAATATGGTTTGATTTTAAAAATACATGTGAATTTATGGTAGTAAATCAAAAAATGTATGATTAGTATTAACCTAAATATGTTCAATCTGTTATTTTACTTCATGGTAGCCTAACTGTTAGACAAAACTACAAGTTTGATGTGTTTGTATGTTTGCTTCCTGAATTGCGATATAACATTGGAGAAATTGAAATAACTTTCATTAGCTGGGATTATTATCATTATTATTATTATCATCATTATTATTATTATATGCTACAGCATTAGCTGACATTTATATCCAGTTTAAACTGGTTCAGTCACAGCGCTAATGCTAAAAGCTGTTAGCTCGATGGTAAATGTGTCAACCAATGAGCTTATTTTTTAGCTATGATGTCATGTTTAACTCTTTTCTTTATAATATTAATAAGTTAAGAATGTAATTTTAAAAACTTGTCAATGATAAGATTTATATGCTGGAGAAAGAGTCATAAGTTTGCTTCAGTTACAGCGCTAATGCTAAAGTCAATCTTGCTAGCAAGGCTAGCTTATCAACCCTGAAGTTGTTTCTTACTATACCAATTATCTGTAGAACATATTGACAGAGAATTATGTTTTTTTTTTAATTTCATTTCATTTTTATTTGACAGGGACAATGCAATAAAACATCACAACACAAATTAAGTGCTGCACATAAAGTTCATGGCACAGTTAATTTTCAGCTCCTGTCCATGGTTGGGCTTTTATATAAAGTAGAATTTACATACACTACTTCTAATTAGAAATTAAAGACATACCGGTAGTCAAAATGTACAACATACATCTCATATACGACTCTCACCTATTTAAAATAGTTAAAATTGAGTACAATTCTGATCTGTTTTCAACCAGTTTTTGAGCATGTAGTAAAATATTTAATACCAGCTACAATCTTGATGTTGGATGATAATGAGTTCAAGACTTTTAATTCTTTACAGCCTGACAGGATAAATACTATAAACAAAAATATATCATATTTAGCAAGAATTTAAGTAACATGGTTAAGTGATGGCATTTTTAACAGTTTGTTTCAATTCAATTCAATTTATTTATCTTTTTAAGTCTTTTAGCTGTTAAACTCACATTTTTCCTCAGAAATATAGATATCTGAGTTAAGAAAAGGAAATATATGTAAAATATTATTTACTAAATTCAAAATGGTTTGTTTTTTTGGCTGTAACACTTTAAAGCTTAATATTGTGATGAAGTAACTGATGTAACTGAAACAAAATAGATCCCTATGTTATTCTTTCACTTATTATTTTCCACTATGGTGGCGCCTGTATACAACTACATACACTCACCGGCCACTTTATTAGGTACCCCATGCTAGTAACGGGTTGGACCCCCTTTTGCCTTCAGAACTGCCTCAATTCTTCGTGGCATAGATTCAACAAGGTGCTGGAAGCATTCCTCAGGGAGTCTGGTCCATATTGACATGATGGCATCACACAGTTGCCGCAGATTTGTCGGCTGCACATCCATGATGCGAATCTCCCGTTCCACCACATCCCAAAGATGCTCTATTGGATTGAGATCTGGTGACTGTGGAGGCCATTTGAGTACAGTGAACTTGTCATGTTCAAGAAACCAGTCTGAGATGATTCCAGCTTTATGACATGGCGCATTATCCTGCTGAAAGTAGCCATCAGAAGTTGGGTACATTGTGGTCATAAAGGGATGGACATGGTCAGCAACAATACTCAGGTAGGCTGTGGCGTTGCAACGATGCTCAATTGGTACCAAGGGGCCCAAAGAGTGCCAAGAAAATATTCCCCACACCATGACACCACCACCACCAGCCTGAACCGTTGATACAAGGCAGGATGGATCCATGCTTTCATGTTGTAGACACCAAATTCTGACCCTACCATCTGAATGTCGCAGCAGAAATTGAGACTCATCAGACCAGGCAACGTTTTTCCAATCTTCTATTGTCCAATTTCGATGAGCTTGTGCAAATTGTAGCCTCAGTTTCCTGTTCTTAGCTGAAAGGAGTGGCACCCGGTGGAGTCTTCTGCTGCTGTAGCCCATCTGCCTCAAAGTTAGACGTACTGTGCGTTCAGAGATGCTCTTCTGCCCACCTTGGTTGTAACGGGTTGTTATTTGAGTCACTGTTGCCCTTCTCTCAGCTCGAACCAGTCTGGCCATTCTCCTCTGACCTCTGGCATCAACAAGGCATTTCCGCCCACAGAACTGCCGCTCACTGGATGTTTTTTCTTTTTCGGACCATTCTCTGTAAACCCTAGAGATGGTTGTGCGTAAAAAATCCCAGTAGATCAGCAGTTTCTGAAATACTCAGACCAGCCCTTCTGGCACCAACAATCATGCCACGTTCAAAGTCACTCAAATCACCTTTCTTCCCCATACTGATGCTCGGTTTGAACTGCAGAAGATTGTCTTGACCATGTCTACATGCCTAAATGCACTGAGTTGCCGCCATGTGATTGGTTGCTTAGAAAATAAGTGTTAACGAGCAGTTGGACAGGTGTACCTAATAAAGTGACCGGTGAGTGTATTTTCTGTTTCAGTGTTTAACCTCCAGTTACCCCCTTTTTAGTTAATTTCGGCCTAGATCCGCAGTAAAAGAAGCCAAATCACAACAAAATCATCTGAATAACATTAGTTGCATTTATGTTCTTTCACATACAGCTGATTTTTTTTTCTACGCAAGAAATGTTCTTCATAGCACAAAAAAAACACTTCCAAATAAGAGTGTTAAAGCAGAACCACTGTGATAAACCAGCACAACTTGACGTTAGTAAGGATAAAGTATCTCATTCGGCGCTTCGATGTATGTATGTAGAGCAAATCTTGAGCAAACACCAGCCTATTTCCCTGCCAGCTTGATGTTGATGCTGCAGCCTGCAGTTTGTTGTGATTGTGAGATAATTTTGGTTGTAGGGGGACAACTGAAAGGGTGGGCAGAATTTCCTTTTTTACAGGTGAAACATCTCTGAAAACAGCGCAAAGAGAGCTTTTTGAGCATGGATTATATAATTATAGTTTTGCAGTGTGTGTGTGTGTTATTTTTTTTTTTTCTTATTTTTCCTCATCCGAGGCCGTAATTACTGCACACAGCCATGGGTCGGTACTCCTTTCAGCTGGCCTAATCTCACACAGGATGAATAGAAACTGTCAATCAGATGCTGCACTCAGCAGCGAGACAAGAGGGGACTGATTGCTGCTGCTGCTACTGCCACACGCACACACCCACACACACACCCTTTTCTTCCTCCTTCTATCTTGTATTTACACTCTCTCTGCCTGCACTGATGCAGAACTAAACCC